CGCATGTGCACATGCATGCACACGTTTTGCGGCTCCCAGTGTTTTCTTTTCTGTGGGAAATGGGTCCAAGTGGCCCTTTGAGTATTTATGGTTGCCGACTCCTGGTCTAGCCTCTTCTTAAAAATCTCCAAAGATGGAGCGCCCACTGATTTCTGGAGGCAAGCTGTTCTACTGGTTAATTGTCCTCACTGTCAGGAAGTTTCTCCTTAATTCTAGGTTGCTTCTCTCTTTGTTCAGTTTCCAATCATTATTTCTTGTCCTGGCCTCTGGTGCTTTGGAGAATAATGTGGCAGCCCCTCAAATATTGGAATACTGCTATCATGTCGCTCCTGTTTCTTCTTTTCTTTAGACTAGCCAAACCCAAGTCCTGCAGCTGTTCTTTGTATGTTTTAGTCTCCAGGCCTTTGATCATCTTAGTTGCTCTTCTCCAAATTTTTTCTAAACACTCAACATCTTTTTTGTGACATGGTGACCAAAATTGGCTGTAGTATTCCAGGTGTGGTCTTACTAGGGTTTTATAAAGCGGTACTAATACTTTGTGTAAACTTGATTCACCCATGCTGGCTACTAGTTATAACTTTGTTTGCTTCTAGTTGTTTGCAGATGTGTTTTTTGATTATCTTTTCCAGGATCTTCCCAGGTATTGATGTTAGACTGATTGGTCTGTAGTTTCCTGGGTCTGTTTTTTTTTCTCCTTTCTTGAAGATGGGAACCACATCAGCCCTTTTCCAATCCTCAGGTATTTCCCCAGTGCTCCAGGATTTTTAAAAGATTTATTAAGAGAATCACTTCAGTTATTAAATTAGTAACATGATTGTTAAGTGAATCTAGTTTCCCCATTGACTTTGCTTGTCAGAAGGGTGCAAAGGGGGATCAAATGACTCTGGGTCACTGCAACTGTCATAAATGTGAGTCAGTTGTCAAGCCTCTGAATATAAATCACATGACAATGGGGATCTGTAACATTCAATAGTGTGAAAAATGATCATAAGTCATTTTTGTGCCATTGTAACTTCAAATGGTCACTAAATGAACTGTTGTAAGTCAAGGACTACCCATATAGTCCCCACTCTCTCAGGGAGTAGGTTTTGATGAAGATATTTTTTGACAAGATTGTTAATTGTCATTTGTCATTTTATCATTCATTCCATTTGCACTTTTGCTTATTCTTTTTTTAAAAAAATCTATTAAGTCTTTGAAGGCTTGGTACAGCAGAAATCTAGGGTGTGAAACAAATGAACAGATAAATAGATATGTACTATATAAACACATTGATACAGGGAGGAGCAAATACTGAGCAGCTGAATTAAGAGGTTATAAAATAAAAATAAAAAAGCCCAGATTGTGACATAAACAAAGCTTTATAGCTCATAAAGTATGTGGTTCTTCCTGAAAATCATTTCCTGGGTTCAGAGGAAGACTCCCGCCTACCCATTCCCCCAGTATTTTAAAGAAAAGAGATCACTACACTGAAGGCCAAGACTTGCACTGAAGAAGCTGTCTTGGTACGATCTATGCATAGCTCCAGCTGAATTTATGGGTAAGATCCTTTGTGACTTCATTTAATGCAACTCTTTCTCCATCTTTCTCTAATATTTTATAAAACCTGGACTAGCCTTTCCACTGAGTACTTTGACTCCTTCACCAGATATCAAGACATCACTTACCATTTGTTGAGGATATCAGAATTTTGCCATTTTATTTATAGATTATTATAGAATTTTTTTTATTGTCAATCTCCTGCACCTGCTAAGGCAGCCTGAAGATGGTTTTGAATGTTTTGGTGTATGCATAGTATTTTCCATATTTTGCTAACACAAAGCAGCCCATGTATCCAGTCTAGTGTATGGACAGAGTGTGGATGAGGTGGCTTGTGAAGTCTCAGAGGAGATTGGCAAGTGAAATTAGTCCAGCAGGTCTGTTGTGGAATTGCTGCCCTTGTGTATAGTCCCTAGGCATTAAGTGTTTTGCAGTGTTGTTTTGGCTGTGATGGAGTTTGGAATGCCAGCGTCTGTCACTACTTTTGTTATGTGTATTTTTTTTTCCCTTACAGATTAGTTGACCAATTGATTTAAAAATGATTTGTTCACTCATTATTCAGTTTGGAATATTGCAACACACAGCATGAAAAGCAAGACAGTAGTAAAATAATAGGCACACTTACCATGTGCATCTAGAAGAAAGAAGATACATAACTGGATAAAATTCTAGTGTTTTGGTACCATCCTAACTCAAGGCCTGGAGAACAACCAAGTTTCCAGTGCTTTTTTGAACATATTCAGAGCCATGCAGATAGCTGCTGTTCTGGACCACAGGCACTGCAACAGAGAAAGTGTGCTCCCAATAGATTAAGAGGACTTGGAGCTCACTATCTCTGTTTTAGATGGTTTCTCAAATGTAACAGGTGCTGCCTCGACCAAGAGTCATGCAACCTATACCACCTGACACATGTACAGTGCATACATAGCACTCCTGCTTTTGAACACCATTTCAATTCAGGGCATGCTATGAAGCAGGCAGCCTGAGGAAGCTTTCTGAATGCATTGGAGGTGGATGGTAACTAAGTGACATTATTGTATTATAATAATAATAATAACAAGCAGCGGCATGACAAAGTAGCAACAATGGTGCATTGGAAGATCTGCAAAAAATATCATTTGCCTGTAAGCAAAAACTGGTGGGATCATAAAATAGAGAAAGTCATAGAAAATGATAAAATTAAACTGCTCTGGGACTTCAGAATTCAAACAGACAAGCACCTGCAACATAACACCCCAGACTTAACAATTGTCGATAAGAAGACAAAAAAGTCTGGATAGTGGATGTGGCAGTGCCTGGAGATAGCAAAATAGAAGAGAAAGAACTGGAGAAGATAACAAAATACAAAGACCTACAAATAGAAATAGAAAGACTGTGGCAAAAGCAAGCAAGGTAGTACCAATAGCAATAGGCTCCTTGGGTGCACTCCCAAAACAACTGGAGCACCACTTGAACACCATTGGCATTAACAAATTTGCTATTAGTCAATTGCAAAAGGCGGCCTTATTAGGAACTGCTTCCATTCTGCGACGATACCTGTAATACCATCAAACATCCACATCTGCCTATCCCAGGTCCTGGGTAAGGACTCGATAGGTAGACAAAATGCCAAATCCAGTCTGAACATCTGGCTGACTGTGCGATGATTGATAATAATAATAATAATAAAGTTGGAACGGATCTTGGAGGTCATCTAGTCCAACCCCCTGCTCAGGCAGGAAACCCTACATCATTTCGGACAAATGGCTGTCCAGTCTCTTCTTAAAGACTTCCAGTGTTGGAGCATTCACCGCTTCTGGTTAATTGTTCTAACTGTCAGGAAATTTCTCCTTAGTTCTAGGTTGCTTCTCTCCTTGCTTAGTTTCCACCCGTTGCTTCTTGTCCTGCCTTCAGGCGCTTTGGAAAATAGCTTGTTTGTCATTATTCTGGAGAGAGGCCAGAAACCCAGTTTCCATAACCAGTTTGGTGTCTATTATTTTACCAAATGTTTACACATTATTTTACCAAATGTTTACACAGCTGAATTCATTTCTCAAACTCTTAAATAAGACTTTTCCAGTGGCTCAGCTGCATACATCCAAAGACAGTAGCCAAGAGACGCAAAACTCTAACCCTTTGCTGGACAATGTTTTCTTAATGGTTCATAGGCTGACCAGTGAACAATTTAATAGTAATCCTGGAAACATTTTCAGAATATACTCGAGAGCACCCACAGTTTAACCTGATTCTCTTACATAGTCAAATTCTCAAAACCTAACACAGTAGCTACATTGAGGCAGCACAAACCAGGTGACCAGTACATTGCACTAGAGACAGATGAACTTTTTGCTGCCATGTAACAATTGTCATTGTGCTAAGTCAAATTTGGAAGGAGGCAAATATTGGACAGAGTATCTATACACAGCAATTAATAGTGTTTTTCCCACCAGGCTTGTGATCTCTGAATTTTACACAGAAGCAGCCACCAATCACTTCCTTGACAATCTGGCTTGTACAATATAGCAACAAACCATGATTCCATTCTAGATGTGTAGTAAAATCCAGCTATGGGGGCAGCAAGATTTGGGCCAATAGAAGTTTCTTCAGCTTTCAAGTTTGAAAGGACACAGGGCAAAGGCACTTGTGAAAGGACATACATAGCTCTGGCTGTGGGAAAGAAGAATGAAGTGTCAGGCAAAGAGAAGAGGTAACTCAGTCTTGAGAAAGTGAAAAAAATGATTCTATCAATCTTGCCTTGATTCTGCCTGGTATAAATTGGTTTATTCTATCTGTTACAATAAAGACCATCCCTGGAATCTCTGCTGCTTTTATTCTTTGACCTAGTCTACCTTAAAGGGCTGGCAGCACCCTTGAAAGGCTTGGAAGCAAATTCTAATTTCTTCCACTCTCATTTGCTCCTTGTCAACAGTCAAGGAAATCCAAGCTACAGAAATAATTTTTGAGATTGTATGTTTATGCATTTATTTCTACCTGGAATGAAAGAAATGGATCCGATTTATAGCCATCTATGAATCCAGCTCACTATTGTTTGTGGGATGTACAACTCCTTGCCCACCTTCAGCTCTCAGGGGTTATCCATATGCATCTGATAGCGATGGGAGATGTGGTCCAGAAGACATCTGGAAAAGTTTGGGTTGAGGAAGACTTGGCAGGGCAGTTATTGAGCGCCTGTATTTCCTAAACGTTATTTATCAGCCAAAAAAGGAAGGAAGGTGGATGAGTAGAGCTCCCGATTCTCAGGATAGGATGGTTACGCTTGGTCCTATCGTGTCCTCGCAGGACGCTTCCTTCTCTTTGGTGTGGCTGCCTGATTTCTCAGGGGAGGGTTGCCAAAGTCTTCCCCCTCCCTCCGGGTTTTGCCCTGTAGGGTTGTCCTTGTTAGGGGGAGGGCGAAGACTCCGCGCTTAGGTTAGGAGGAGTTCCTTTCTGCGGCCCCCAGAATTGCCCGCACGCCTCCGAGGAGCCGGGCACCAGAGGAGATCTTGAGAGTCCCTTTGGCGGGAGGCGGGCGTTCAAAGCAGCGACCCGCTCAGCCTCTGCCCCTCCGCTGTGGCGGTTGCAAGCAAGCCCACTCCTCGCTCGCTCTTTCTCCCGATCAGCGGCTGTCAAGGGAAGCGAGCGAGTAAGCGAGCGACCCCCCGGGTTTAGAGGATGCTTCAGTTCCTGGCAAGACGAGCAGCCTAAGCCCGGTCCCGGGGGAACCCCTGGAGCGGAGCAATCCCCGCCCGCCCACCGGCCCGCTCGCCGGAGCGCCGCGCCGACGCTTCCCTGGAGCCTCCCGACCGGCGGCTTCTCAGCGCCTGGAGCTCCCACGGCTGCTTCTCTCGCCTTTTTTCATTGGTCGGTGATGTATGCATTTACATCGCCTCCGAACTTTTCCGAAGAACAGCTTGGTAAGTCGAGGTACCGGGGGTGGGGCGGGGAGTGCAGAAGTAGGATTCTGAGTAGGGAAGCAGAGGGAGAACCGAGGAGGTGGGGAGTTCTGGAGCAACGGGGCGGGGGGACTTTAAAGGCACAATGTCAGAGGACAGAGGTGTGAACTTCAGGGAAAGGCAGCAGAGCAGGGGTTGGGGTGTGTCACTTTTCCTTTGATTATCTCTTGGTAATGATGGCGAGCCTGGAGAAAAGTATTGAGCTTGTGCAGAGTTCACTCTCTCCCCCTCGCCCCCCTCATCGCCATCACCTCTGAAACAAGTTTCTTTTAAACGGCTTGGTGAAAAAGAAGCTGCGGCAACCACGACCAGAGGAAAAAAAAACACTGCCTTTTACAACAGTAAACAGTAAACCTTTCCTCAACCGTTTAACTTGTCTAAACTTTATTTTGTTGAATTTAGCTAGAGAAAAGAGGAAGAGGGAAAATGAGAAACTAAAAGCTTTCTAAAAACAAAACAAAACCCTAAAAGCTTCTTTCTTGTCTTGTATGGCTAAAGCAAGAAAAGCACCTTTCCCCCTGGATTTAAAGTGTTCCTAATATGAAATATGTAGGTTATTGCAGCGTTACTTGCTTTACACATGGTTTTATTTCTGTGCACATTATGTTTGGTTGCCTGGTCCCCATTGTCCTGGAATTGCAAGCTATCAGCGAGTTTTGGAACAATGTGATTGCTGTTTAACTCCCAGGGAGTCCATATAAGTGGATGAGTTCTCACTTCCTAATGCAGCAGCTCAAGTAACACTATGTATTCAAACCCTTCCTCCTTACCTCAGCAAGCTTAGCAAAGACTTTTCAAGCCTTCCAGAAATAAGAAAGGTGGTATCTGGTATCCCATGTCTATGCCTGTCATAGGTCATGCATTAAGATTAAAGTATCACCCCTGCAATCTTTATATCAACTTTTGGTAAATGTGTCATGCCTTCCTTGAAACTGCTATGTACAAAGGGATAATTTGAAGAGAGGGGGAATCTTGCTATGGTTGGTTTTAAAAAATAGGTGATCTCTGCTTAAGATCCAATTAACAGTGGGTGTTTAATTCCCATTCTAGTACTATTGGGGATAATGGGAACTGTAGCCCCTCCCCCATCCCAGTTAAAAGAGAGAGAGAGAGAGAACTGGCATTCTGGTACAGCAAAAATGGCCACAGATGTGTTACTGGAGGAGTTGTGGAGATCGCCGTGCAAGCAACTTTGAGCTTTTACAAAAAAAGTGACGTTCTTCATCTAATAAATAACAATTCAATATAACCATGTGCAATAGCTTTTATGGGAATGGGAAGCCCGTGGCCATCCAGATGTTGCCAAACTACAACTCCCTGCATCTTCATCATCAGTTATGCTAGCTGGGGCTGCTCTAGTAGTATCTGAAGGATTATTGATTCCCCAAAATTCCTGTAGCAGTTACCTTTTCATCACTGAATAACTTAGTAGATGATTCTATACAGATAATCCTATTCTGGAAGTATGATAAATGTGTATATAAAAAACCAATATAAATTGTTTTCTTGTTTATATATCACATAAGAGTCCAAAAAGTAATGGTTTTTGCTATCTTAAGTAAGAAAGCAGTACATTTCTTGGATGAATACACTTCTTTTAATGAATGTGACAGTAAGTTGTTTCTTCTAAGGATTCACAATTCATAGGTCTCTTCTCAGTGCTTATTACTTTTAATCAGTGTTTACACTTTAGGTCCAGGAAGAGCTCCTGTGCATTTAACTGAAAGATGTGAATTAGAATAGGGTTGCTATAGTTTCCTCTTTGATAAATCAGTTAATGGCCACAAACAGCAACTTAAACTTCTAACTCACCTCATGATTTTTTTTCTGCTTGGAATGGTATATCTGATGTGTCTGTTAGGATTCAGGAGTGTCTTTGATGTGTTAAAATAAGGTCGATATCTGCTAGTTATGTCAGTTTACTTTCAAGGCACACTTTATCACCCAGTCCTTATCTCTGAAACAAAACTGAAATACTCTGCCCTTTGTGGACTACTGTGAGATGCTTCTTACACCTTTTGATATAAAAGAAGTAGTTAGGGGCAATTTATCTTTAGTTAATAAATGTCCTCAAGATGCACATCTCAGACATTTTAGCCTTCCCTTCACAAGTATTCAGATGATATTTTCCTAGAAAATTATCATTGTTGAAGTTTCAAATTTGTGAAGATCTTATTCTATTCTGTTGCTGATGCTGTTTTGCCCTTCTTAAATGTGTAATCTGCTGTACTGTGCACAAAGCTTACACAATTCAGTTGTACAAAGACTCTTTCTTCTCGCTGAATAATGGAGGCAGACAGGATATCCTAACTAAATAATGTAGCAACTGGTTCTTCCTATCAGCCATACCTGATGCTAGATTGAGTGTATTGACTATAACTTTTCTAAGATAGATGCATCTTCTTCAGGATAAGCTCAGTGGTTGTTTTGAGAAGGAAATGTGCTTTAAACATTCTTCTTATGGTTTATTAAGAGATCTAAACTTAGTAAGGATTTGGGGATAAGTATCGTGATATTTTGAATCACTCAATAGGCTGCATTTGTTTCAGTGTGGTCATTCCTATTGATCTGCATTCCCATATGAGTTAAAATGATAATTTTTTATTGAATGATTGTAAGTTGCCTAAAGTCACCTTTAGCGAGATGAGTGGTATATAAATGTAATAACCAAACAAACAAATAAATACCATTATTCTGGTACCTTTGCTACTTGAATCACACAATATTTTAAGAACAATATGGAGAAGCCACAAAATTAGAAAAATAAAAAGAAAATACATTTATTCCCATTGCTACTTCCCAGTTTCTTGATCTGACAAAATCACAAACGTTTGTTTCTCTATGCTTTCAGAGGGCAAAGGGAGAAGATAATAGGAGAAATAGAAATGAACTATTTTATCAGAATACTGGTTCCTCTACTTTAATTCTCAGGCTTTGTAGTGCATGCAAAGAACTTACAAAGTGACGTATACAGTATTAGGACATACCCTAAGTCAGTATGGCAGACTTCATTAGTTTTCTTTGATGAGAACCGATCATAGGTTTTCTATAGAAATATTCAGGCAGCAGTATAAAGGCTAACTCCTTTGGGAAAGATGTGCTGACTTCACAAAGCACATTTGCATGTCAAGGGAGATCATTCTTGATGTACTAATAAATTGTAGTTTAGGAACAGTAAAGCATTTTACCATATTAAGAAAATGAACCATTTTCTAATTTTGACAATGGGCCTACTACATTTGAAGATTCTTTTCGTATTAGGTGTTTACTTATGTGAACAGGATGGGTAAGGTTATTTCTGAAAGTATTCATCTATATGTTTAGAGTAAAAATATTAATTCAGATACTTTAAAGTAGGTACTTTTAAATCAGGCCAAAATATTTAACGTTTAATAAATTAAAGAAAGTTTCCTCTGATCTTGGGAAGGAAGACAGGGTTTTATATGTCAGAAATGCTAATCTTGCTGACTTGAAAATGAAGAGTACATTCATTAGTTTATTTGTTTGTTAGTTTGCTTTATTCCTATCTTTATATCCTATCTTTCCTTTACAGAGTTCAAGGTAACATGCATGAAGCCATTCCTCAATTTATTCTCTCAACAAATAGGTGAAACAGGTTAAGCTGATAGAAAATTATTAGCCCAAAGTCACCCAGAAAGTACCACAATCAGACTTTTCATTGTGTCTCCTCAGTCCTGGTTCAAAACTTTTATTTATTTTGGGTTCTTCATTATTTCATATAATTCAGCAAAGAAAACAAAAAAGGTGGCATTTTCCTTTTAACAGTTACTGCTAGAGCATTATTTTGCTTTGTTACAACAGTTATAAATTATCTTCAGTGTTTTCATGAACACTTTAACTGAAATATTGAAATTAATTCAATAGAATACTATAGCAGTACGTAAAATAAAAAAAACATTATCTCAGTAACTCTTACAGAAAATCTTGAAAGATACATTATCATTGTTTATACTGCATGCTGATAAAAATAGATCTGAAGTAAAGATATCTTAGTTTAGCTTTCTATACTGTCATCAAATATTGCTGTTTTTGAATTTGTCTTGAATTTTCATGAAATCTGCTTTCTACCATCAATTAGTAGGAGAAATGTTTTTTCTAATCATATAAGTTCCTAAAGAAAAAAGAACAGTGACTTTGCTGCCAATTGAACCCAATTTTCAAACTCAGTTCTACAGATTTTACTCCAACAATGTTCTTCCTTCATATATTCTTCCAGAGAGGAATGGTGAACTAATAACTTTATGTAGGCTTTAGGCAGATAATTATGTTATTCATATGTAGGAGGCTATATCATATTTCAACTGTGTTGTTACATTAGGCGAATTCTTTCACATAAGAATAATCATGTGAGTGTCACAGCTAAACAGAAATTTGAAACTTCCTACCTGGATTAAATGTTTTCCCATTCAGGCTAATATTTCATACTAAGCCTAATTTGTCTATGGCAGTGGTTCTCAACCTTTCTAATGCTGTGACCCCATAATACAGTTCCCCATGTTGTGGTGACCCCCAAGTGGGTGTGGCCACCAATAAGAGGGAGTAGGACAGCTAGGGAAAAGGGAAAAAAATGGCGGACAGCATGGTTTGGCGACCCCCGTGAAATGGTCATTTGACCCCAAATGGGGTCCCGACCCACAGGTTGAGAACCACTGGTCTATGGTATATGGATAAACCAAAATTAGCTTCATGCACATATCATGCTAAGTGATAAAGCATGCTTTATAAACCAGAATGACTGAGTTCTGTAATCTGTTTACCAATCTGCTCATCAAACAAATCATGCTTTGTTTTGGCACAAAATATAAATTCAGCCCAGGTTACCCATGTTGCTAATGGATGAGATCAAGAAAGTTTTTATATCCTGTTTGTGCTCACCTGATTAGCTACTGTGGAAAATAGAATGCTATAATATTAGCCTGAACCGGGAGAACTTGTCTTCC